TTAACTTACCATGAAAAATAAAAAAACTGTTCAAAAACAAATTTGTTATAGATTGTATAAAATAAAATCTAATAACATTCATGAAAAAATAAATCTTTGTTCTCAAATTTGAAGGATAAGAATTTTATATCAAATCAAATTCACATTTTATTCTCAAATTTTTTTTTATCTGTATTAATTTACTAATGGAAAATTTGAGTTCAAATCAAACTCTAAATTGAATAAAAAAATCGAAAATCGAGATTTATTAATTTATTTCATGATAAATGAATCTTGAGGGAGAATTTGTAAACATAAAAAAATAATAAATAAATAAAATGGATTGTGTCGATTTAAATAATTAGCATAATTGAATTAAATTCTACTAAGATTCGTAAAATTCAAAGGCCCATCTAATGTTTTTTAAACAAATAAAATGGATTGCGTCGATTTAAATAATTAGCCTAATTGAATTGAAGTCTACTAAGATTAGTAAAATTCAAAGGCCCATCTCATTTTTTAAAATAATAAATAAATAAATAAATTAATAATTACTCAATTATTTCTTTTAATTAAAGATAATTGAGTGATTGCTAAAATTGGTCACAAAAATTCCCTTGTAAATAGGATCAATGGTTCCTAAAATAGAGGAAGAAGTGAAAGATCAGAAGATAATCACGGAGTGTTAAAGAAATATCAAAGCCAGAGAAAGAGAAGAAATCCTCTCAAATCTAAATTCGGTGAACTTCAAGAAAATCAAAATTTTCTTAAAATTAAACATATTCAAGTCCAAGTTTTTGCTCTAGAATTCATGTGTCGAGCAAGTCAGGTTCCAACAAATCAAATTTTCAACAAATTCTCGAAGATTAGGATTTAAGTCACGTGACCTCTTGTCTTCAAACATTTAAATCACTAATCAGAGTATTTTTGCAATTACAATAAGGTCAACATTACTTGTATTTCTCACAATACAATTTGTAATAATTTCTGAATTTTAATACACGAAATTCGTCGTACATTCTCATTGTTATTTTTTTTTTCCTTCTATAAAGTGGAATTGACTGGTCTTGTTTGATAACAAATTTTGTTTCCTAACCCCAACATGAGAAAGGAGGAAAGAATACTGTGAGTATAGGCGGATACTAATTGTTCTTGAATGTGCCCCGATTCAAAGTTTATCTATGAAGCTTTGAGTTTTGGCCAGCATGGATATGAAGTGTTCCCAAGGGATTCATAACTTCCATTTCCTATAGGAATAGTTGAATTCGGACAACTTGGCACCTCTTATACTAGATCTATCGAAGTTGTAATGTTTTCATCCATGCTTCGTTTTTTTTTTTGGATTGTCATATTATTGTAATTTCTTAGTTTGTATATTCGGGCATGTTTGAAATAATTGTATTCGAAATTTTGATCAATACAATTTATTTATCTGATTTACAAAAAATGAAAGGTGGAAAGAATAATCTCTTCTTTTTATCCCATATTTCTGTCTCACTTTATCCGACCCAAACATTTGATATTTTGATTCTAAGGGCATCTCCAACCACAACACCATTGCACTATTTTTTGGTGCAAAATTGCTCCAACTCAACATCAAACTTTACACCATTTTGGTGAAAAATGGTGCAAAGTGTGGTGCAAAGTGTAAAATATCTATTTTGCCCTTATTTAATATTTTTCAAATAAATTTGTTGAGAGTATTTATTTAATTTGTGCTATATATTTTTTAATATAATAAATTATTATTATTTTTTATTAATACTAATATTATTTTTGTTTAAAATAAATTTTAAATGTAAGACATAATAATTAATTAATTAATTAAAAGACTAAAATAATTTAAAATACATCAAAAACTATTATTTATTAAAATTAACACGAAATATATTAAATAGTAATTTATGTTCTATGTTTATTAATTGTTTTATGTTTTTTATATTTGTTAATGAATTTAATTTTTTCCGTAATTTAACGTAATTATTTATTTAATAATTTATATATTTATGAAATAATTAAATAAATAATATTTCAAATAAGTAGATTATAAAGAATAAAAAAGGGAAGAAAATGGTTAAATATTATTTATTTGGTGTAATTTTTGACGTAATAGTTGGATATGAATTTTAGTTTGATGCAAGATTTGATGTAAAATTTGGTGTAAAACAGTGTAAAATTGGAGATGGCCTAAGCTCCTCATAACCGCCCACGAACATAGATACAGAGCGAGTGCGAGTAAGTTCATAGCTAATGGCGGAGAAGCCCCAGCCTGTTCGAGTTTTATACTGCGGAGAGTGCGGATTACCCGCGGAGTACTGCGAGTTTGGGCCTGATTTCGAGAAGTGCAAACCATGGTTGATCCAGAACGTACCGGATCTCTACCCGGATCTTCTAAAAGGTAACTCCCCAAACCCTAATCCCGTCAAGGCGCTTTTGATTCCGTCACTCTGAATTTGATATTCTATTTATTGTTGTTTGATTTTCAGAGGCTGATGTGAAAGACGCTGATAAAGTATCTGATCAGCTTCAGTCCACCTCAATCTCTGGCGGTAATATATGCATATCTAAACACACACACGAATACGCACACATGTATGTAGAATACATTCTTTTGCCGTTTTATATATTCTTTTTTCTATATGCTGTGTTTTCATTATTAAATTTGTCCTGATTGCTAATGTATGAGAGTGAAAGAATTTAGAGTTGAATAGTATAATAGATCAAAAAATGTAGTTCTTTGTTAATCTCTTGTTATGTTTGCGTGCGAAAAATTTGCTCCTGGAATGAACTGAATTACAGAAGTGCAACTTCATTAGATTTTTAATCTTGTTGTGCTATGCTTGCATTTGATATCATTAATCGGGGTAGTTGGATTCTCTGACCAATCATTTATGTTTTGAATATCGATTAGCATTATATACTCTTATTTCACCTTTGGGATTCTGTCTAATTTTTGCTTCTATTTCAATGTTATAACTCAAATGATAATCTTGGTTTATTTCTCCATTTTTTGCAGCAGGTTCGTCTAAACCTAAGCAGGAAGAAGTAAAACGTCTTCCTGGTGGAAAGATTAAAAAGAAGGTGATTGTTGAGACTCTGTTTTTATACCCTTAAACTTATATGGAACTATCTCCTTTGTGGAAATTCAGTTATGTCAAGTAATTTTATTGCTTGTTGCCATAATATTACAGAAACTGATGCAACTTACTAACATAGGGTTAGAAACACTTGTGATCGTTGAACTTTTAACAAAAGTGCAAAAGGTATTACTTGGCAAAAGGAATGCTTGTTAGAATGATATGTTGGACAGCCACTAGCTACAAGTACAGAAGTGCATTCTCAAATTTAGAAGCTCGAATGCAATTTTATGACTTTAAGTAATGGGCAAGTTAAAATTAGATCGGCTCGCATCTGGGTTGGTAAATTAGGGTACTGCTGTGAAGATGGTTAGGGTGAATTTATTTCATATTTATGCCTTACGCAGAAATTGGTTTCTTATCTATCCCCTAGTCTTCACCTTTTTAATCCTCAAACTTCTCATGCAAGCAGCCATATTGCTGGTTCCCTGCTGTAGGTGTGCTTCCTGTAGTAGATTTTTGGTTCCATGAAGATCTTAGATCCTGACTTCCCCTTTTCTTTATTTTCCTTGCAAAAATAATAAAGATTGCCCCTTGTTTATTATTTGTTGTCTCTTTTTCTTTTTTGCTACAACTCCACCCTTTCACCCCATTTTTTTGTCAACAGGAAAATTATATGCCCTCAATTGAAACAAAAAGATATTTTTCTTAACGGTGCTTCTGATAAGAGATTACAATAGGGTTATTTTGATGTGTCAAAATAATTTGCTTTTGTTAAATCATCCACCTACACCATGGTTTTAAACAATCCAATTAAGGCCCAACTCAGAGCGAGCAAAAAATGCCTCAAAGGTGTTAATGTGAGGTAATTTTTGGAGGCATACGCCTCACAGTCCTGCCTCAGGGCTTGTGTGATGTGCTCTATTCAATTCTTTGAGACTTATTTACTTTCCCTAGGTGTGAGCTCACAGAACATAGAAATTCTAACTGGTTGATTTTTGGGAATAGCCCACTGCCCCCTTTGTGGCCGTTCCAACTAAAATAATATATATATTTTTTGGTTATATTATAAATTTTTCTTTTTGTTTGTTTGTACTTTTTAAATTGTTCTATTGTAAACTTTGAAGATTATTTATGATTTATTTTGAGCTTATTTTGAATTTTAATATTTTGACCTTTTTTTTGGGTTTACGGTGAGGCTATGCCTTGAAATGCATCAAGGCTTATGTCTCGCCTCATAAAGGGAAAAACCTCAGTACCTGGTTATGACGTTTTCAAGAAATCTAGATTCAAAACTTTGATTCACATTTGTGTATAAAAAGACGTGAAAATCCACACCCACAGTTGAAATATCTTGAAAAATATCGATGGTATATCTAATACTAATTTTTTGTTGACCCTAAACCATTTCACATTTTCTTTCTTCAAATTCACAATCACTAAACATGATTTTATTAAATAAAATTTTCTTGTGGCATGACGAGACATTCATTGCTGCAGCTTATTTTATGCTCCACGTAAGCATTTCTGTTAGTTTATTACACAGGGTTGGATGGAGTGTTTAAATTGAAACAAAACAATATTTTAGTGATCAGTTGGAACAAAAGAAAGTTGGGTGACTAAGTTGAAATTTCGCTGTGTATTTTTAACCTGTAAAGATGTTGGCCTAAATTTTGTGTAAGATTTGATGCTTTCGAGTAGTAGAAGATTGATACATAGTGAACTGATTCAATAGTATTAGAAAGTCAGTTCTCTTTCTTTCTTTCACTATACCTTAAAAGACGATTCATTTCTCGTTAATTATACGATATTATGTTATGATTAATACTTAATTGAGCCAAGGTAATATGATCACACTTTGATTTAGAGGGGTTTACCAATATATGAATGTAATGTGAATAAACCGTGAACATGAATAACCTACAAACAAACCAACATGATTCAATCTTTTTTGAAATGTAAAAGTAATTATTCCTTGCTCCTCGTATAGTAATTATTGTGGTATAGCTCATCTCATGGGCCGTAGCATCTAAAAAAAATTTGTATTATTAATACATTTGAATGTTTGATAATGAGTTTTATATGTTGAATATTAAGAGCATAATTTGGATTCTTTCTTTCCCTACCCCTTGACTTCCATCTATTATCTTTTCATATATGCTTGGTTTCTTTCCCTTTCGTATAATTTGTTTCTATACTATATTATTGTTCAAAACTAGGATCACATTTTTTCCCCCATACAATTAGAATTATAGAAGTTAAACAAATCCTGTGATGCTTAGACTCTTAGAAATGGCCCGAGTACTCGCGTTGATACAACACGACACAGGTTTGGGTACGGGTACGAGTACTTCAATCGGACATGGCATTTTATACAGGGGTTTATGTCTTCTAGCTGTTACACAATTTTCGTGATTTTAGTCAAATGAGATTGTTTTCATTGCTACTAATGTTTTTCTTCCTGTTAACCTAAGGTTGATAAAAAAAAAAAATTATTAATGAAATTTGGACTCTTTTTTGCCATGTTCCTGTACCCCACATTTTAGAAAATAAAAGAATCCGACACTTAGATACATAAAAAATCTGTATTCAGGAATGGATGTAATAAAAATTAAATATAGGTTGCATTATTGTGTTGAAATTTCTGATCTAGGAAATGAGCTAAAAGTTATGCTCATTGGGTGAAGTTCCCTGTTCCACCCCTCACCATCTCCTGCCAACCAGAAAGAAAAAAAGATTTTTGACGAATATTTGTGCTATTCTACCAATTGTCATCGTCTATGATGCTCGGACTTGGGTATTTATCTAAGTATCGAATCTTTTATTTTTTAAAATTTAAAATACGGGGACATGCCGAAAAGGAGTTCAAATTTTAGACACGGATACGTTGGTACGTCTTTCAAATTTCAATTTTTTACTAACTCTAGATGTCATTTTCAGTAGAACAAAATCAATTGTTCACAAAGAAGGAAATGAGTATTGAATGAGGGGTAAAGAAGAATGAAATGGAATTTTGGTGTTTAGCTTTCAATTGCGGGAATTTAATTACTAAGCCCTTGTTTGAGCCACATTGTTTTCTTTAGAATACATTTTTGAATAGTGTATTGATGGAAAATGTGTGTCAAAAAATAAAGAAAAGTTTTGGATTTGCGTGTAATATTATTTTATTGAAAAATGTGGTTGAAATGATGTTAAATCACTGTTTAAGAATGTATTTTTTTTTTAAAATGTGGCTCAAATATGGCCTAAATGTTATATATAATAAAAAATGAGAGATTTAATTGTAATTTGGACTTAGTTGAGTACTAAGTAGAATTATATGGAATCTATTTTCATTTTATACAAACAAAGCCCTGAACCGCCGATACAGAGAGGGAAAGAAGTAAAAAAGAAAAAAAGGGAAAGAAAAAAGAAATAAGAAAAAGAAGAAAAGCGGCAATGTTGGATTTATAGAGAGCAAAAACAAGAAAAAAGAAAAAGAAAGAAGCAAAAACGGTGCCTTGTTCGGTTGAAACTTGGAGGATGCAACGCATATTCCGTACCCATTTCTTGTCATGTCGACATGGGTATTCTTGACCATTTCGAAGAGTCTGAGCATCACAGGCATCGTTACAACTTTGATGTGATTAATTGATTGGAATGGAATACCTTATTTGATTTAGCTTCGCTTGTTCTAGTCAATAACTTTTAATTTTTCAATTACTTTTTTTACTACAACCTTTTCTCTATCTTGATTTCTTTATTCAAAATTTTTTTTCATCGAAGTTTAAAATTTAGAGGCTAGAAATTCATAGTTGTAGAAATCCTGAATCAATTATGGGATGATTGTAATATTAGTGTATGGTACAATTAGAGTTAAGTTAGAAAATATCTTTTTATTCTTAAGTTAGAATATTACTTTTCCTTTTCTTCACCATTGTATTATATCAATATTGTAGTATAGTGCTGTAAGAATAACAATTGAGAATAAAAATATCTTGGCTCATGGTATTAGAGATAGGGTAAATCCAAACTCAACTATCAATGGTGGAAAACATCGCCAACAGCTCAGCCACCACTGAATTAGGAACCAACGAGACTGAAACCATCCCCACCATGAATTCAATTGGAATTGATAATTTCTCCTTTCAACTCACGATGGAGAAGCTTAATGAATTAAATTACAGAGTGGGCTCAATCAATTAAGTGAGTAGTCGACGGACGACGGGAAAGGGAAAATTGGTTACCTTATCGGCGACATGAAGAAGCTCGTGGATGCAAAACTCCAACAAAAATGGAAATCGGAGAATTTCGTGATGACAATTTTATAGATAGAAGATCCCAAACCTCCGTCATTGGATCTTGCTCAAAGGCTAGACTAACTAAGTGCTAAAAGGACCGGTCTGAAAGCTCAAGATCCAATTAATGGCTTTTCAACTCGATGAAGTAGTCAATTGGCAAAATTTCTTTTCATGGCAACCACGAAAGACATATGGGACGCTGTTCAAGAGATATACTTGGACGCGGAAGATTCGTCCCAAATCTTTGAAATTAAAACAAAACTATATTCGAAGCAAGGAGAAAGGGATGTTATAGAATACTACATGGAGATGATTACTCTCTGTCAAGAACTGGACGTCAGTGTTTCTAAGAAAATGGAATAATCCACCAAAGCTCATGTGTAGATATTCGAAAAAATGGATACCTATTTGAGGTAACTCGTGCCCTGATGTTCACTTCAAATGTAAATAAAATCTTCTAGGGTGATGTCATTTTAACATCAGTGTACCTCATAAATTGAATGCCTTGTTGCACTCTCAATTTCGAAACTCCCCTCCAAAAATTCAAGAAATTCTTCCCTAACTCTTCTCTCACCTCAAACCTACCTCTAAATGTGTTTAGATATATAGCTGTTGTCCACATACATCATAGAAATAAGCTCAAACCCCTTGCTATTCATTGGATAATCATTTATATAAAAAAGTATTTGTTAGCCTTGATGTCACTTTTTTTGAAAACAGGCCCTACATCAAAAAATTCTCTCTCCAGGGGGAAAACTTAAGTGAAGAACGATTTTTGGAAATCTCACTTAATCCCCTGAATCTATTCTAAACACGGAACTTACAACTCCATGTCTTAACATGCCATCTACAGAAGGTAACTTAAACTTAGGGGGAGAGCAGAAAGAGTAACATGACAGAGGTAATACTTTATGTAAGAAAGCCAAAATCAAAGTACAAGGAAAAACTTACACTCGAAGCACCAAGAGAGTCGGAACCGGTGATAGCTCCAGACCTTCATGAGCTTTCTCCCAAATCATTCTACATTGATCTACCTATTGCTTTTAGGAAACAAACTTGATCATGCACTCTTCATTATATTTCAAACTTTGTTGCTTATAAGGTTCTATCTTCAAGATTTCGAACTTTTGTCTCTAATCTTGATTGCCAAAAATTCCAAGAAATATTCAAGGAGTCTTGGAAATTGCCAAATGTAGAAAAGCAGTAATAGATGAAATGAAAGCTTTGGAAACAAATGAAACTTAGGATATGATGGAGCTACCAAAAGGAAAGAAACCAGTTGGATGCAAATGGATGTTTAATGTGAAATGTAAAGTAGGCTGAACAATAGAACGGTATGAAGTCCGTTTGCTTGAAAGGGGATATACTCAAACCTAAGGCATAGATTACAAGGAAATATTCACATCGGTTGCAAAACTTAATACAATTCGGGTTCTCCTATCTCTAGTAGTAAACTTGGATTGGTCACTCCAACAACTTGATATTAAGAACGTATTCCTAAATGGGAGTCTACATGATGCTACCACTTGGATTCTCTACGAAAAATGAAGAAAATAAAGTATGCAAATTGAAAAAAGCTACCCTCACTCACCTATGGCATGGTTTGACAAATTTACAAACTTTTTGAAAAAACCAGGGATACCAACAATGGTAGTTAATTTACACTATATTTTTTAAATTATTTGAAAATGGGTAAAAAACCATTCTGATCATATATGTTGACGACATAATCGTCACTGGAGATAGTACAGTCGAGATAGACTAAAAAGGGTGACAATCATAGAATTTGAAGTAAAAGACTTGGGATAAATGCGATATTTCTAGGAATAGAAATATCCAGATCGAAGAAGGATATCAGTGTTTCGCAACAAAAATATGCTCTGGACTTCCTAACTGAAATTGGTATGTTTGGCTGTAAACCAAGTGACACTCTTATGGATATTGGAAGAAAAGCAGAGAACATCAGAGAATCCTTTGAAAAGGACACATATCAGCTCTTAGTTGGGAAACTAATCTACTTATCACACATTAGATGTGACATTGCATTCGCATAAGTGTGATAAGCTAATACATGCATTCTCCAAAAGAAGCTCATCTAGAAACAGCATACAGGATTATGAGATATCTTAAAGGCTCGACTGGGAAAGGACTACTGTTCAAGAAAAGTGAAAAAAAGGGAGATTGAAATATTCCTAATGTTGACTCGGCAGGAGCAATAGAAGATAGGAGATCAACCACTAGCTATTGTACGTTTGTATGGAAAAACTTGGTAATTTGGAGGAGTAAAAAAAGAATATAGTAGCCAAAAGCAGTGCAGAAGTTGATTTTAGAGTAGCTGCTCAGAATATGTGAAGGATTATGGCTAAAGATTCTCTTGGAAGAACTATAAATTACAACGAAACTTTCAATTAAACTCCATTGCGATAACAAAGCAAATATCAACATCTTACTCAACCTAGTTCAACATGATAAGACCAAACATTTAGAGGTGGATAGACATTTTGTCCAAGAGAAGGTTGAAAATGGAACTATCTGCTCGATCTACTTCCCTACCAAAGAACAGACTGCAGATGTATTCACCAAAGGGCTACATTTCATCTACAAGTTGGATATGATCAATATTTATGATCCAACTTGAAGGGGAGCTTAATCAATTATAGGATGATTGTAATATCGGTAGATGGTATAATTAGAGTTAAGAAATATCTTTTCATTCTTAAGTTAGAATATTGCTTTTCCTTTTCTTCACCATTATATTATATTATATATCGTTATATAGTGCTGTAAGAATAATCAATTGGGAACAAAAATAATTTCTCACCAGTGTCTTCAATAGTTTATGAAAAAGTTGCACTCGAAACAAAGATTTGATGTTATTTATTTTGATTTATGAGTTTTAACTTTTGATAAGCTTCCAGAGACCTTTGCCGGCTTGTGCCTTTACTCCGGGCCTTGAAATGAACCAAATGTGAAAGCTTCTAGATGGTGGTGTTTTCAGTTGATCTTGATTATTAGGGGGCTGTCCCACCGTGCATTGAAGGTAGCATGTCAAAATTAGTATATTTAAGCGTCACGTAGATGATACTCCTTGCTGGTCTGTGCCTTTTTTGAGCTATTGAAACGTGTTAAGACCCAATAGGAAAGCTTCTGGATGGTGGTGTTTTGAGTTGATCTTGAGTATTAGGGGCCTGCAAGCATTGCATTGAAGGTAGAACAGTCAAGTTGGTATATTCAAGTGTTGCATGGAAAAATCAATCCCTAGACGATGAGTTCATGTAAACTGCTTCCTGAAGGTTAGTGTCCCAGTAGCTGCCCATCGTTGTGGTAAAAGCACCACAATTAGGGTTTGCCTTTACTGCAGGGACATGAAGAGTATGGATCAGCTACTGAGCTTGTAGGTCCCAAAAAGACAGCAACATGCTTTTACCTAAGTGGGGGTAATAAAGCACAGTTCTTGTTAAAATGTTAGCTGTTACTCGGCATTCTATTATAATTCAGATGGTGATATATGAACGTGTTTAGCATTTCTGTGATAATATTATGTTTTCAATAGCAGACCCATATGCACAATACTTGGTAGCACTAAAAAATATTTTGAATTGTATTGCAGGAGAAGCAGGAAGTTATTATTGAAAAGATGACTCGAAACAAGCGGAAATGTATCACCACTGTCAAAGGCCTAGAGCTTTTCGGTGAGAAATATATTGCATCTGATTATGAATTTCATATATTATGTTTCTGATGTAACCTTCTAATCCCAAATGTCAGCATGACTAGGTTTTCTTATGTTTCAACTTCAGGGGTTAAACTGAGCGATGCATCAAAGAAGCTAGGCAAGAAGTTTGCTACTGGAGCTTCTGTCACTAAGGTGTGCTGTGTTGCTGGATTAGAACTTTACACTCTTAATTGCCTGATTTTGTATTTAAATTTTCCTTTCTACTGGATGATTCCTGCCAGGGTCCAACTGAGAAGGAGCAAATTGATGTTCAAGGAGACATATCATATGACATTGTGGAGTTTATTACAGACACATGGCCTGATGTGATCTCAATTCTTCTTCTCTTTTAATTTTTGTCAAATGTTCCCTTTACTTTTTGTTTGCCTTACATTCTTCTAATTAAACAGTGATCACATAGCAGAAGTTAGGCTATTTCTTTACTACTTAAGCTGATAATAGAGTAAAAATATTGTAGGGGACGAATCATTCATGGATTTTATGTGCAACAAATGCTAATTAACACGCACAAACATATGCTCTGTCCATTCCTTTTTCGCCATCCAGCATATTTTTATTGCTGCAGTGCTATTGTTGAAAGCTAAACTGGCTTCTTGTAATCAATCTATAGTTCTAGCTTATTTTGCCAAAAAAAAGATCAGTTTGACTAATCAACACTTTTTAAGTTGGGGGAGGAGCGGAGGGAGGTATGGAGCACTAACGGGAAATGCTAAATGATCTTATCTAGGACAATAATTATATGAGTCCACCTTCAGTGTGGACCTAGAATGCCAACAGTTATTGATGACGTGGCATGCATTTCTGTATGTCCCACATGATTTTACTAGAGCTGTGATTTATTTGTATGTTTGTTTGTGAGTACTGGTGTTTATCTATGGGTATGCATTTTGTACATAGGTGTGCATTTTTTTCTCTATTCACATATTGTATGATAAATCTAAGTGAACACATTGATGAAGCTTAAAGTACGTTGTCCTGCTATTTCATGACCATTAGTATTCCAAGGAATTAGCCATGTCAAAGTCAGAATTTTTCCTGTTACTTCCTGTCGTCTTCTTCTACATTGATACTTTAGTTATAGATGATTTGGGACTACAACCTGGCTTCAATATGCATGCCAATGTTTGTCGCTTAGAATGTTTATTAGAATTTTTCTCTGGCGGTTTAAATCCCATAATATTGACTGAGAACCAAACTCCCTGGAGATGGTCATTATCCTGTGTTAATTTGTCGGGTTTTAATGCTAGACTGTTTTTAAGTCTATTAATGCATTTGAAGTGGTATTGAAACTGGTGTGAAGCACATGGACTATAAGACCTAAATATGTTTCAGTTGCATTTTTTCTTACGTATTTATATTTATAGGGCCAAGGCTTTAGTTCAAAATCCCGACTCGTGTTTTTTTTTTTTTTTTGGATTTATTCCAGTTGTGGAATGATCTAAGGTCTAATTCTTTTCTGGGTTCTTAGGTTCCGGAGGCTGCAATTTTCTTTATTGAGGATGGGAAAAAGGTTCCGGCTGCGTAAATGCCAACTGACCCTTGAGGCCTGAATTTCACCGAAAGAAAGATCTCAAATCGAAGGTCTTACGATTCCAAAGTTTAAGAACGACTTTTTAATGCCCATTTAGATTAATATTTTAACACTCATAGTCATGGTATATGTACCAAATTTTTATATGGTCTCACAATTCAGATGTGTTGAAATTAATGAATTGGTTTGTACAGTGGCCACAATGCTCTTTGTTTATGCATTTTGACATGATGCGGAGATCAAAGTTTCAGCTTTGATGGTTTCGTTTTTATTTTTATTTTTGCTTTACCAGTCTACAGGAATATGATAATTTTTTTCTATAAAATAATATTTACACGTAACTACAAAAATTTTCCTTGTTTTTTCACTACACATTTTTCAAAAAATATCATTTCAAAATACATTCTCTCTCAAATTCTATGTTGATTTACAACAGCCTTGTCGAACGGAAAATTTCCAAAGCTTACTTTTCTGGGTTCCTTCAGAATTTTTTTTTACTTCCGAATTCTGATAAAGTTATAAGGGTGGTGTTTGGGAATTCTGATTTTATTATTATTTGAGTTAGATTGCATGGCTTGCGAAGGAGGCTAATGGGGACTTTAGAAACAATTGTTAAGGGTCTCCAACCAGTTGATGGAGGAGGTAGTTTGATCAGCGGGCATGCTGAGTTTTG